CATTTTATTACACAATGACTTTTATAGGACTTTATTCGTTGAAAAGCTACAGGGTAGCCTACGATGTTCCATCATGTCCTTATTTAAACACTGTATATGTACCCTTGACGATTTATATTATATTTATTCAACAGTGTTAACGGCTAACTCCCATCAATATCATATATATATATATATATATATATATATTCATGCTTTAGTATATACTATTCTTTTTTAGTGATACAGTTAACTTCAGCTTAACGTTGCAGCCAGGGTTGTAGGCTTGTTTTTATTTTCTGAAGCTTCAACATATTATGATTCGTATTGGGTTTTTTTTCTGAAGCGTCAATATAATATAGACTCTTACTGAGTTGTATACTGTCCCTCTAGCAAACCTGCTAGTTTGTTAGGTAATTCTATTTTTGTATTTGACTAGGATTCAATCTATTTTTGTATCTACTAGGATTTAGTCTTAATTATTTGAGATTTTTTTTATTGGCTGCTTGTAAAAAGTACATCCCCAATTCAGATTTTAGCTGCTAAGGAACTCTATTTTGCCAACCTAATTTTATTTTTATAAAGATTTTAAATAAAAGATACCAAGATATATACTCTTCGTCATCTTCATTGGCTACCTTTAAGCAAAGTATACACTTTAAAATTCTTTTAAAAGTCTTTTCATTTTTTATATTATCAGTACATTGATGACGTCAAATTGCGCTCAACTACATGTGGTCCCATACTGTACTCAGGTCCACATCATCCAGTTCTACCAATCCATTTGTCGGTTTAAAAAGCTATGGTGATAGATCTTTTGTTGCACCAGATTTTGGAAGGACTTACCCAATCTCATAAGGTCACCTTAATCTTTGCACCCTTTTATATCCTGTCTTAAATTTTAATCTCTCTTGTTTTTGTTTTATGTCGTTTTCGCTTTTTTGTCTTGACACTGGGTACAAGAGCGCGTAGAGACATTCTACTGAGTAGTATATTCTATTATAGAAATGAAAAACCATTACCACTAAGCCTACACATAAATATCAATAAACTACCACACATACTTGACATATTAAGAATATGATTTTAATTTTGTGTTAGAAATATAAAGGTAATTTATTTTATTTTTTGTGAATTATTTATTATTGTTGATATTCAGGTACATCTGAAACTGTTGTCCTGTGAGTTACATGCAAGTAAAATATTACTTACAAATAATTCTATAGAATATAATGGCTGGAAAATTAACTTCAATCCTTACCATAGTGGCTGTCTCCGAAAGACTGCCAGTAGTTCTCGGACCTAGTGTAAAAGCACCTGGTGGTAAACCATTTGGTTCGGGTGGAAGACATGTCGGTGATGTGGATCCTGGCTCTGTTATGTTTGCAGATATCGTCAGAGAGTTACCAGACACATCTGCAGCTGTCACAGAAAATAGTGGGCAACAGCATGTTCCACTTGAACAAAATAAATATGATTATTTTATGACTTATAAAGAATATTAAATGTTATAATTATTGTAGTTATATTATTAGCAATTGTATTTACAACAGAAATTAAACAACTTAAGAAGTCACATTGTTTTTGTAAGCTTAGATAAAAATATTTTCGAATCTTAGGCTTAGGTTTACTTTAATGTCACATTAGAAGTTGCTCCTTGGCCTGATGAGTACAGCTTTCCAATACCAATAGGTGGGTAAAACGTTATTGACCCTAATGCCGTATTGTCAGTAAATTCGTAGGTGATATTCCAAGGATGGTGAGAACATGTGTTTCGATCTAACGTATCATTTCCGCATGCAGCAGTTCCCCATACGTGTGTTAGAGTTGGGTGTTCGTTATCCACAACCTATTATGCATAAATAATAAACAATTATAATCAGGTTTTGAGAACATTATAGGAAATAGAAGCCAAAGAAGCCAATATTTCTTGAAAAAAAAAATTGAGGGAAACAATGGTTCCTAAGGCTTCTATTTCCTATAGTGTACGAAATTACTCGACTGTAATTACTTTATAGATCTGAGTTGTGACCTTTCTATGGCCTTTTATAATCGAACTACTGGTTGTAGAGCGGTTGCTATAGGCCCTATATATCATAAATCCATCAAAGTGGTTGTTTCAGTGATCGCTGTGCGTGTGCGCATTAGCTGCACGTATTAGAATGATTTCATTGGTTAGGTTCACACGAGATTCCTAGTATCCGGATCGGGAGCTAACCGTTAGCGCTAACCGTTTGAACCCGTGTGTGAACGCCCGTCCGATCGGTTAGCACTAACCATTATCAGGATCCGGTTTAGTACGCTAACAGTTAGCGAGCGTTATCGGTTAGCAAGCTGATTACGTTCCTGTACATGCGCACATTTCCAATTTCCAGTTTCCTATTGGCCAGTGATCCGAACATCATCTTCTTAGTATCCAGATCGGGATTTTCTCGTATGAACGTACGGCAGCTAACGTTTAGCAGGATCCGGATCCTGCTCAACGTTAGCTGTACGCAATGTAATCTAGTAAAATCACCCTAGCACTGAGTTTTTTTGCACATGAGACGCAAAACATCGGCGGCACTATATCGATATAGTGATCAGTCGGGATAGGAAAATTTTAGTGCAAATTAAAATGATGACGTCACTGACTTATAAATTATTATTAGCGATTAGATTGAGTATATTATTTTGTCGTCTGATAATCAAAGTGCAACTAGTAAGTTGCCTAAAAATGTTATTGGTAAATTATTCCAACAAACACAATTACACCCATTATACCGACACTATAACAATCAGCAAATTACATCATTGTATGCTCTATTCACACTTATCCTTTCTGTTACGGGAATATGAAGTCCTATAAAATGCAAATTTTAAAATTGCATTTCTTCACCGAGGCGTAGAGAACCTTGATGTTCCTCTGTGAATTTATATTATTTACAAAAAAAATAAATAAATAAATAAACATGATACCACTTTTATCTGTCGACGCAATGTTGCTCCTTTTGCAGTGCACGGTAGTGGAGCCCTGGGCTTATCTTGGAGTGAAAGGTGCTGATGCTCAACATACCGCCTTTGAGTATCTGCGCATACTTATATGGGGAGCAACACGATAGGATAATTGGTATACGGATTCTGCTTGAAATTCTTCCGGGAATTAATTTGGATCTTGTTTATTTTCTGTGGTGAAATCGACACTGCGCCTTGACCACCATTGGTAGAGATGTGCGCTTTATAAATCTTGATTATTGTTATTGTTCTTGTTCTTGTTCTTGTTCTTGTTTATTATTATTATTATTATTATTATTATTATTATTATTATTATTATTATTATTATTATTATTATTATTAAAACTCTATATAGGCCTATAAATAATAGTTTTAAATCTGACTGCAGTGTCACTGCTGGGGATATAAAATATTTGATACCGACCATGGTTTTCTTCATGTGAAGTCTAATTTTAACTCATGTTGAAGCTCTGACATCACTGCTGTGTAGCCATAGAGGAACCACGCAGGCATGTTTAGTGTATTACATGCTATTGTAAGTGTTCATTATACTGTAGGTCAATGCATAATTAATAAGTATACTAGAAATGTTGAAGTATTATGTGCTTTCTAGCCCAATGTCAGCAAGCAAATTAATGTTGATATTGATTATTCATAGAATTGGTACTTGACGAAAATAATTATAAGAAATGCACACAACATAGAATATTGAGACATAACCTACAACCTAATACAATAGTAACCAATAGTAATATTGAATAAATGTTATAAGTTTATGAATTATTTTGTTGATTTGATGCATTATACTTACTAAGATTTTAGTTTGTTCAACAGTTTCCACAATTTTTTAAATAGTAAGTTTCTATAATTCATGAAGTAAAATAAACTAAAGAGCATCGACAATCGTGGTCAGAATATTTCAAGTAAGTATTCGACAAGGGCTGCCACCTAACACAGCGTATACATTCAAGATTTATTGTATTTCTAAGCTTCTTTTATCTGGACTAAAAGTTACCTTGACTGTGGCTATCAGCGAGTAACTACTGTGGTTTTACTTCTTCCCAGTGGCGGCGCCAGAGATTTTCCTAAGAGCAGTCTATTTTCTTTTGGAGCAAATATTAAGAATAGGTACTCCTCCTCCTAAATACCAGGAAATGGCACTCTCTCATACTATCAAACTTCTTTTCTAAAGCAGTTTTTCCAGACGAAATAATTAGCTTCTTCCATTACAGGCTTGGGAGGGGGAGGTGTCCCGGTGCATATTGAGCTTGCTGGCGCCACATACCATTGCTTCTTCCTGGCTGCCTGTTTTATATTTGCGGATGACATGATTGTATCGCACTGTAAGAACTTGGGATGATGAGGCTTTCTACTCAGAAAATGTATCTTTTAATCCACAAAAATGTCAGGTTCTTACATTGTCTCTCAAGGAACGATTGACTAATTTTGTTATTAACGGTCCAAAAATTAATGTCCAAAATGACTCAATACAATGATTTGTATTGACTCGAAATTAAATGTTAGTAAACATGTTGATATTTTTTAGCTGTTTACTTACGTTTACTTCTTAGCTGCTGCTTATCAAAGTGTTATCTTTGCCGAGATCCAGCCATTGTTTCCCCCAGTAAGTGTGTGTATATATACATTTGATAAATAACTGGTATATATGTAAAATATGAAGCACTTTTGTTCCATAAATACAAATCGTTTAGTAAAAGCAAAATGATGAATTGACTCACCAGCGTCGACGCATTATTTACGGACGTCCAGAATACAACATAGTTAAAGGATCCAGTGGAAGATTCCTCGGCTCTCACTGTGACAGTTCTTAACACAATACAGAAATGTCAATGTAAAAGTAATTTCTATACTGTACTAATTAAATACCGACGCACACTCAACATGCCTACACAAAAGAAGTACTGATAAAAACCCAGTACGAGGTCCGGAGCAAGATGAAGCTCCGACTTTCGATTTAGTGATATGGTGGTAACGGTCAGAGTAATCTCACCATAACACCGAGACAATCAACCAGAGGTTTTGTCTCTAATACCATCTCACAAACTACTAACAGTTTAATTAATTTATTATTGATGTAATTATGACAGGACAATTATCATTCGAATAGCGCGTATGCAGGATCTGCATATTTTTTATACACAATTGAACAATTCTGGTTTCTGGTCTGTTTTCCTTTGTATTGAATTTTAATTTTTGTATTGAATGTTCATGTTTTTATAAATGAAATTTAAATGTATTTTTGTAATGAATTTTAATGTGTTTTTTTATTGAATTTTTTTTAGTAAAATTTCAATTTTGTACAAATACTTTAATTCTGCTGCTAATGTAGGCCTATTTCTTGTGAAATATATGCTTTATTAACATTATGCATGTATGTATCAGTTGCGTAGCGAAGGTGGTATTCAAGTATCAGTCTAATACCTTCAAAATTTCAAAAAATATATTTTATGCTCTCCCTAAATCGACAATGCAACGGAACAGCGACATTTAGTTACGCAAATTTTACATTAAACGTTACCCAGGTAGCCCCTTATGGATAAAAGAATTAATCTAATACCTACAAGCTATCTTCACAATTATAAATTACAATCTAGCAAAAATATGTTTTAGTCCTTTAGAAAAGGTATTAATCTGATACATAAAAGCCATCTTCACAATGATAAATCACTATATATACCGTAGTTCACTAGGTCTAGGCCCGTTGCCACCTGACCTTTTGCCACCCGGCCTTTTGCCACCCGGCCTATTGCCACCCGGCCTTTTGCCACCCGGCCATTTGCCACTTTAGGCCCGTTGCCACCCTAGGCCCGTTGCCACCCAGCCTGTTGCCACCCAGCCTTCTGCCACTCGGCCGGTTGTCACCTAGGTCCATTGCCACCCGGTCTTTTGCCACCCGGCTCGTTACCACCCTAGGCCCGTTGACATCCGGCCTTTTGCCACCCGGCCTGTTGCCACCTTAAGCCCATTGCCACCTGGCCTTTTGCCACCCGGCCCGTTGCCACCCACAATAGTACAGTATAGCATTTTATTCTCAGAAATTTCACTCTCGGCATTTTTCCACAATATGTGCACGGAAGGATGAATGGATTGGTTGCTTAGATAAGTTAAATTTATATTTAAAACATAGACAATTCGTTGCTGTAAAATATACGTGAAGCAGTCCTAATTAGCGTATGATATCTTTAATAGATGTATGGTATGCATGCATGTAAGTATGGGTGTATATGTGTATGTATGTATTTATTTTGTCTGCGAGTAAGCCCTATATTTAGTTAGGTGTGTGATTGTATGTAGCACCGTAAACACAATATATAAGAAATAGATAAATAATAATATTAACAGTGTTCATATAGGAACATAGTCTTTCAACGGAAGTTTTTCTAGCTTTACGTAAAGTTCCACTATAATAATGTGAGGGTAAATCAGTTGTATGAAAGAAGGTACCTGGGGGTAGATTTGCTCCTATAGGGAATTAGGTCAGTATGGGCTAACGGTATGATACTCGCCTTGATAGCGAAAGGCAACAGGTTCAAATCCCGCAACAGATTCAACTGAAAAGGGACCTTTCGGTTGAAGGGCTATGTTTCATAAGATAATAACATATTATGTTCCTATCTGAGCAAAGTTATTAATATTTATATATTTGTTTATATGTGTATATATTGTAGGCCTATGTATAATAATACTACCACTAATAATAATGTTAATGATGATGATGATGATATTAATAATAATAATAATGATGATAATGATAATAATAATAATAATAATAATAATAGTGATAATAATATTAATACTAATATTACTACTACTACTACTACTACTACTACTACTACTACTACTACTACTACTACTACTACTACTACTACTACTAATGATGATGATGATGATGATGATGATGGTGATGATGGTGATGATGATGATGATGATGATGATGCTACACTTAAATAGTGCAAAATGCCTGAGCTGCGATGCGCCTAACATACATACATACTCACATGGAGGTTCCAACTTGAGCCGCTGATGATGCATACAATGTATGGGTGATGTTCTCCACATTTGAAGCTGAAGCAAGAACAGATGGCGGCCTAATACCTGAGGAAATAGTGTTGCCTCCCCCGTTAATGGAATCGGATAGGGTGAACATCTTTTGTGGCCCTGAATTGATTAGTCTGAATTTTGTAACGATAGATGATCCGGGAATCAACTCATCTGTGGGGTTTGAACATAATAATGTTTAATTTTTAAATCGTGTCTTCATGTTTTTTTTTCAACGTTATGAGTTGTTTACAATCCACCTCTTGATATTTACCTGCATCACTTGATATTTGCACCAGCTGAAACGTTTCTGGTTTTATTTTTGTTGGTTTTAGACGCTGTATACTGTTACCATGTTTATCGCTTGCTTGTAGACTCACAGAAAACACCTATCAAATTAAATAGTATAATGAATAACAACATTGTTTTACAATTATTGTACTACAAATAATTTCTATTAGTATCATCTTTATAATCGATATCATCGTCCCATTTTAATCAATATAATACTGATAATAATATTATTAATTATTAATTATGTACCTATTAATAATAATATTGTCATTATTGTATTATTAATTATTTAATGCTATTGTTGTAGTTAGTAGCGCTATCATCTCCATTCTTAGAGTCATTATTTCGCTACAATTATTTTTATACATATTATTAGTATCATCGACATTACTAATAATATATAATCTAAATACTTAGATACAAAAAGGATATGAATTGTTTTATTATCGAAAGATTGAATAGGTAAATGGCATCTTCCACCATAACTCACCTCACTTGGAACAATGAACGTTGCAGAATAAGTGTCGTCGGTTCTGCTTTCTACCTTTGAAAGTACTATACATTTGACTACAACGCCGGCTGGACTAACTAGCTCTATATAATCCACTGAAGAAACGTATGTTACTCCAAATACCTTTAAATTGACAGCCAACTCTGTTCCTATGTGGACAATTATAGATTAATGTATCAGTTGTTTTTTTTTGCTCCACGATTCAAGAATATTGGCTTAAACTAAAATATTTTGCGTTACTGCTTCCAATATAGTTTCAATCAGTCCCGATGAAAACTAAGCATATTAAAGACGGAATGAAGGATGAGAGAGAGGAGGGTAAAATATAAAAAAAAAATAAAAAAAATAAAATTCTTTTATAAAAATATAATAATCACATTGACATTAACTTAAGATTAATTAATTTGCTCAGCAGCTCATCATTCACTCGTATTTTTAAGAAACATTTTTAATAGCAACAAACTTGTTCATTTACCAGCCACAGGACTACCATCAATATCGTTTGCAAGACCTGTTGTCTCATCCACTGTTATCAATCGGTACTGGAAATCTACAGTACTCTGTGATGTCACTTCCACATCACAAGAATTTGAATCACTACAGTTGCATGACCATTCACCGCGCTCTGGTGATCTGACCGTAACAGAAAACACTGACGATGTGTTAACAGTTACGGTTACATTTGGGTCCGCTAAATCTAGTTTTGTACCTGAATAGACAAATGTATAAATATCAATTCTATTATGATAAAATAGGTATAGATAAAAATAAAGAAAAAAGTTTCATTATTATTAAACATGCATACATATTTACTGTATTCAAATTCTTCACTACAAACTTAGCGTACCTGATGGGGTATAAACAATTACATCGTTCGAAGACCCTGAAGATATTGATATGGTAAGCGTACTGATGGTTTCGTCAATCGCAAACAACAAAGTGTGGAATCTTGTGATGTAGGATTTAGCAACGTACACAAGAGCCGCGCCAACGTTTGTGTCCAATAGATTCACTAATTGCTCTATATCACTTTTGCTTCCTTGATAAACAGCTCCTCCACTTTCCTCTGCTATAATTTCATACGAAGACAAGGTTGTTGACCTAACTATAAAAATGAAGTAAAATTTATTGTGTAGTCACAATTGTATTTTGACTCTGCACATCATAACGACTTTGAAGAAATATTCTAATTATGTTATACCAGAAAATATCATGATATAGGCCTAAATATAGGAATACCATGAAAACGAATTCCACCATTGTAATGAGTATGAATAATTTAAAATTACTACAGGAGTAAAACAATGACGCAACATCAGAAGATGTTTATTACCGCTACTAAATGTATTCATAGTTGTCTGTTGACACGATTACACAAAAACTAATGAATGAATCTTCAACAGATTTAGTGGAATAGTATATAATAAATCTAAGAAAGAGACCTTTTAAATTTAGAAATAAAAGGTCTAAGGAATAAGTCAGTATCACAGAAATTCGATCTGTTTACCCTCAAGAATAAAAAAAAAACTATATACTACTACATACAAAAAAATATTACTACCTTGCTTTAATAATTAAATCTAATTATATAACACGCACCTGGAGTAATATAGCCACTATTGTGAAACACTATAGAGTTTTATACATATCACAACCTGACTAAGTACTGCAGAAGAGTGTAATCGTTGTGACTAGCGTTTAAATATAATATATTGCTGTGTAGCACTGTTAAACACAATATAAACAATAGATAAATAATAATACTTGTGTACATGTCTAACACAGCAATACCTAATTTTAATATTATTTTAAGCTGCTACCTAAAAGATAGTTTGGCTTTAACATGGCTCCACAATATGTGTGAGTATAGAAATTTGAATGAGAGAGAGTGCCTGTAATCAATTCGAGGTATTTATTGCACATTCAAAACATATCAAAAAATCATACAGCAGCATTTAAACAAAAGATTCTGAAAATGTTATATATACAAGAAAATTTAAAAGGGCTAAACGTTAATCAAATTTTTTTTAAATATCAAAATTGCCAATATTAAACAAATTCATAGTTGCTAATAATCAAATAATTTGTTATTATTACTATTAATTATATTTACCAGAAAAAAAAATAAAAATTCCAATTAAAGTCACATGGAAAAAAGATTAAAATGAAACAGTGACAAATGCACGGACTCACACACCCACACATACACAAACCAATCACACACCCACAACAAAAAATAAAACAAAATTTAAAAAATAATATATTCTTATTACAATGTTAAGTGATAAAATGATTAAATTGAGAATTGCAATAAAAAGAAACAAAAAATAAATGCACACACACACAAACCATCCAACCACACATAAACAAATTCTAGTAAAATATTTAAAAAATTATAAGAAATTCTTATTACTGCTTTCATTCAAAATTAAAATAATTTACCCCAAAAAAAATTATTACTGAATTTATTCAGTGATTAGAAAAATCAATAAAATAATTACGTTGAGAATTCCCCAAATTTCAAAACAACAACACATCAAAAAGGGTTGCTGAGATCATGGAGGAATAATGCTGAGATTAAAATGAAAAGATTGAAGCGTTTCAATTGCCTAAATCTTCTGCCATATGTGCATAAGTTTTGTGTTTATATTCGGAATTCATGCAAACATTTGAATACATATTAGGATATCAAGAATACTTGTGCTACTACACGAACTTTTGCAGATAAGTAAAGGTTACAGGCCAAGTTCATCTAACCATGATGACCTTAGAATTAGAAGCTGGGACAAGAGCATATGGTGTACCTGTATGGAGGACGTAAGGAAGCGTTGAACATTGTACGCAGAAAGAAGTTTAGCGACAAGATGATGATGAGCCTCAAGAGTGTAGAACTTCAAAGACTAGCACCTACCGAAGGTGCTGCCAAGTACAATTTATACAGAGTTTATTTAAAGAGAGTACTAAGACCACAAGATTGGGGATAGAATGTTCGGTGTTTATGACTAATTGCCTCAGACAATGATAGTAAGCCAACTCCTTGTGCATTGTCAAAAACATTATAGACCTACGGGCGGTGTAAGCAGTAGCGGCTCTAGGATATAATTTATGAAGGGGCTAAGATGTCCGACTGGGGGGCCCTAAGTATTTATGGGTCTAACTATAGCGCGCACAGGTATCCCCCCACTGGCGCCGCCACTGGGTGCAACAAGTGCAAGGAATATGCATATAATGACACTAAGATCTGTTCATGTAAGAAAAACGGAATGTTTTGCTGTGAAAATTGTCAAGATGGACAAATCCATTATACGAGTTTGCGTACTGAAGATATATGGAGTGGGCTAAAGAGATATCCACACGTTATTGAATACATAATATTACAGTATCTATCAAGAAACTATAAGACAATGTTTTCTCAAATTTATGTGAGTTTAATTTACAGTTAATCCACAAAATGTCGCTAAATCTATTCCTTCAACCAGTAATACCTCGGTCTCTAGACATTTTATATTATTAGGAAAAATAATTTTTCTTTTTGTAATGACAACAGGTACCGCAAATTGAATTAAAAATAATTATATGTGTACATTTATTTTATTTAATGTGCTAATATTTTCCAACCTAAAAACATCTTTTTGACAATTCATTTGACATGATTGAATGCTTAGATGCAGATTTATTGCAAATAATCGATTTTCCTTTAATGGCAGAAGCTAATTTGCATATTTAACATAGCTAGGCCTCCTGTCCACTTAATTAATTCACAGATACTCAACCATAACCCTGAAAAACAAGGCTTTGAATACTTTATTTGTTATGAATGAATACTTAAGACACAAACTAACTGCAGAAAATCAGTTTTCTTGTAATGGCAGCACCTAATTTGCATAGGCCTATTCAACATAAATATATGTATATAATTAATTCACAAATATGATAATAATATTATTATTATCATATTATTATCATATTTGTGATAATAATATGATAATAATAATATTATTATCATATTTGTGAATTAATTATATACATATAATTAATTCACAAATATGATAATAATATTATTCTCTAACCCTGAAAAAATAGGTATGGACACTTTACTTGACATGATTAAATATTTGATGCAGAGTTATTGCGAATAATCGATTTTCCTTTATTGGCGAAAGCTAATTTGCATAATTAACATAGCTATAGCTCCTGTGCATAAAATGTATTCACAGATATGCTAAACATGTTTACTAACCCTGAAAACATGGCTTTGGGTACTTTATTTGTCATGAATGAATGCTTGAGACACAAACTAACTGCAAAAAAATGTAATCTATTTGCATATTAGGCCTATATGTATATAATAATTCACAAATATGCTAATAACATTGACTAACCCTGAAAACATAGGCAGGCCCGTAGCCAGGTTCTTCCAAGGGGGAGGGGGGAGGTTTCTGGGCGTGAGATCCACGGTCGAAGCCCCGGTGGGGTCGGCGAAACCCCCAAAGCAAGGGGATTTCTGTGCTTTGTCGGTCTAGATAATGTTATAAAAGCAGATATGTTTGAAAAGGTCTTTGTCTGGGTGGGTCTGCAGTGCAGTAGTTGGGTTGGAGGACTTATTTGGGAAATTTTAAGAAGGGGGTTCGCCAGAAAAGAGGGGGATTTTGCTAGAAAAGGGGGTTTTCCCGAACCATAAAAACCCTCCCTGGATACGGGCCTGATAGGTATGAAAACTTTACTTGACATGATCGAATGTTTAGATGCAGAGTTATTGCAAATAATAGATTTTCCTTTAATGGCCAAAGTTAATTTGCATAATTATACAAATTAGGTAAATTCTGGGTTGAACTCAACACCTTATAAACTAGAATCAACAATAACACAAACTTTTGCAAATTGTCTGACTCAAGACCTCTTTTTCATAAATTCTGCTCGTCTTATTTATAGACTATTAATTAATTCTGTGCTAAGAAAATCCTATTTCCATTGGATTGCAAACTCAGGCCTGGATGGTGCTGTAAACTAAAGGTTTCTATAATGGTTAGGGATGATGCTCATTGGTGACAAGGTTTGGCTTAACAGGATTGCTTGAAAGTTGATCAAATACAGTAGCCTGTTTAGTGTCCGTGTAGGCTCAATGTAAGTTTTAACCACAGTGTTGCATATGTAAATTGTTGATACATTTTTGATCAACTCAACTGTTTTAAAATGAAAAGGAAAATGTCACAAACATTTTTAAAGTGTATGATCATGTTTCAGTGAATTGACAGAAATTTAAAAAAAATGATTGATCATGTTTCAGTGAATTGACAGAAATTTAAAAAAAAAATGATGAAATCTAAAATGACTAACTCATATTTTAAATTTCCTACTTCCTCCCACCCCCGAAAACTCCACCACTGAGGCGTAGTATGCAGAAGGCACATGATTTTGCCCTTCTATCGTGATTCTTTTGTTATTTTTGTCGTTTGTGTTATTATATCAAATTTAAACTCATGATGGTAGTAGTTATAGTACAAGAAAATAAATACCTTTTCTAATATCACGCCGTCGTCTTCTAGAACATGATCCTGTCAAGATGAATTGCACACGTGAGTTGGTCTCTTTTGTCAATGTGACTACGTTCGATTCTTTTTCCTCATCTTTAGGGTCAGCGTCCGTGAACACGTAGACATCAGAATTAGGAAGGCTTAACAAAAGTGGTATAATTACTAAAGTAATAAAGAGTGCATAAATGGTAGGCCAACATAATATTAAACAGTATAAAAGATTAAGTAGGCCTATTATAAATTAGAAAATAATGTTGAAGAACACGTCGCACATAACGCTCAGATAGCACGATCATGTAACGGCAGTTTAGGGATGTCTAAAAAACGAAGACCTAAGACCAAAGACCCAAAAACGAAGACCCCTATTTTTTCTCTTTTATTTTTATAATAATACACCAGGCTGTCACAAAATCAAAATTACGAAATTTGTTGGGCGTCTGTTTGTGAAATGTTTAAAGGTCTTCGTTTTATAGACACAAAACGAAGACCGAAGATCCGGAAAAAGAAGACCTCCAATTATTTCTCAATTATATTATTGAAAGTATTTCAAGATTATCATAAAACAGTTGCCAAGTACCTATTTCATTATCTCATCGGAATAAAATGGGGAAGAAGAAATAATTAAGGGTCTTCGTTTTATAGACACCCTACATTTTTTCTCTTAATCGTGATGAAAATAATGTTTTTAAAATACTTCATGATATGTATATATAGTATTCGTCTTCTTAGCACATTATTGCCTGAATCTCTGTCAAATTAATGATTTTCTCTTTATTCCCAGTTCCAAAGCGGCAACAATGATGTACGTCCACAACCTTGAATATTTCATTCATAAACTTGTTCCATGTTAAAATAAACAGTAGGAATGTTGTATAGTGACGCATTATGTGCACCATCGGTCATTTTGTAGTGACACCAAAATAGGATGGATGAGATAATTAAGGGTCTTCGTTTTATAGACACCCTATATGGGTGTCTACAAAACAAAGACCGAAGTCCCGAAAAACGAAGACCCACATTCTTCTTTATCTCAATCGTGATGAAATAATGACATAGGTACTTGGCAACTGTTTTATGATAATTTTGAAATACTTTCAGTAAGATAATGGAGATATAATTAGAGGTCTTCGTTTTTCGGGTCTTCTGTCTTCGTTTTGTAGACACCCATATAGGGTGTCTATAAAACGAAGAACCATTAAAAAAAATTCACATGCAGACGCCCAAAAACATTTTTTAATTTTGATTTTGTGACAGCCTGTCGTATTCTCATCAAAATAAAAGAGAAAGAAAAAGGGTTTTCGTTTTTGGGTCTTCAGTCTTCGTTTTATAGACACCGGCAGTTTAGTGCAGTTTTAACCCCTCGCTGTGAATTTCGCTTGTGTCCATGAGCAAGACACTTAACCTACATTGATTCTATCTGGTTGTATTATGGGTACTATAGCAGCACTTGCTGTGCGTAACCTGTGATTGGTTTCACGCTACCGAAAACTAGGTATAGGCTACATTTCCGGCCCTATGAACCTTAAGCGCTCCTGAAATGATTTGATTTACTTATCACGAGAGTATGTGCTTTAATCAGTCATTTCTAGTATGACTTATTGTGTTAATTCAAACTTTTGAAAACTATTTTAAAGATTAAGTTCTTACAAAGATATTTAATAGGGCTTTAATATTGTCTACGAAATATGTGTTCTTTAATTTCTTCTTCTACATTAAATATTAATGCATTATTTCATAAAGGTAAAAACTTGGTGTAATAACGTATTTTTGATTTTAAAATTAAAAGAATAAATAAAATGAAAGTGTTTCTCAAGCACCAAGTATCACTCTGCTATATAGTTCTGTAACAAAAGTTACTACTTTACTGTACCAATTTGTTAACGCAAGCTCAATTCCGGATAGACAGAGTTCCGGACAATCGCCTCCCCTGTGTGCACTAATACTATTTAGGTAATCAATGCATTCGTTTGGATCGCTGGTAACAACAGCTGGACCAAAAGCTAAAAAATACAAAAATGTATATCATTAACCTACTTGCTTTATGGGATTTCGCCTCTCTTGCTTAATCATACCGTGTAGCAGCAGACAACAAATACATAGTTAAGAATACCACAATAATTTTCAAGCTCAGTAACATATAGGTAATTAAAAAGCCTAGTAGATTTTATTATAAAAACTTTGTATGTACAAAGTTTCGACAAATCCTTTTTCATCTTTAGTGAAACGATTGCTAACACGCAATTTTCTGTATAACTGAGAGTGAACAACTGTGAAGCATTGTATTTTAAACTACAGTTACTATGTCTGTTTGTATAACAGAACATAGAGCTGTCCCTCATTGATGTAATGAGAAATGAAGTTGAAATTGCAACAAAAAAAAGTCGTTAAATATATAAGGTCGTTAATAAATATATAAGGTAAAAAACCACGGAAACCCAAAATAATTATAGTACTAAATAAATTTAGTTCAGTCAAAAATCACCTTCACCATGGTATATAAGATCCTTCCTCACCGAAATTCAAACCTTACGTCCTCTATATATTGGAAAGATTATATCTTGATGTTGCGTCGTACAAAAAGTGGGATTTAACGAAAAAAAAAAACCTTGTATACCCAGTTTTTGTGTCTACTGCCCCCATCGGGGGCCGTAGACATTGGCTGTATTCGACTGGTCGTTCTTCGTTAAACCACGCCACCTGCGCAGTGGTAAAATCCTACTTAACGAAGACGACCAGTCGAACAGAAAACTGGTAAATACTCGACAAAACAAAATGGCTGCATATTTACCGCGATACACGCTGCGTAATCAATGCTACTTCGAATTGTGGCAGTATAGATTTTTCGTAAAAAAAAATGTTTTCATCCAGTTTTTTAATTTTGTTAGCCTACAATTATTTTTTGACATCAATGTGGGTAAATATTGTAATCATAATGAAAACTTGAAGACATCTGCTCACTGAACGGTTCACTGCACACCTTAACACAGTAAATGAGTCAAAACGGGACCCCATTTTCTCACAAAATCGACTATATCATTTGAATGGTTTGATTTGGCAATCTGGGGCGATCGGATTATAAAACTAGATGTTTTAAGCTTTATAATCATCTACCGTATATATTCTTACAATTAATGCAAAATTGAGTGATCATTTTTCTTTTCAAAGTTGACTACCTCTTATGCTTTTGCATAGGAAAAAGGTTAAAATTAGAGTGTTTTTTGGTATACTTCCTGCTTATTTTTACCATAACTCTGCAACGACAGGTCGCTAAACTTCGGGGTGAACGGTCAATTGTGGCTCATAAATTAGGCTTTCTTGCCATGTAAGTCCGATGCTGGTTGCTTAAATAACCATTACCCTTGTCTATGAATGACGTTACGCGCTTAAGGCCAATAGCAGCTACAATTTCGAGTTTTTTTGCGGTTAGTGCGTTCATGCATAAGATGTAGGTAAATTTACCTGAATGAGCTTTTGTCGAAAATAGGGGAAAAGTTTTTATTATGTTTTTATCTAAATTATATTAACGCAAATGTTGTTGCTAAACTGGCCAATCGGCCATATATTTTTGGGTCACGTGCATAACTTAACACTGATTAACGCAGTCTGGTTACGTTAATTTTCGTTTTCAACGAAGCCTATTTTACGAACCAGTCGATTGAAAATAATACTCAACAAAAATTCGTACTCAACACAATGAGCCAGTCGAATAAGCCCACTATATCATGATGTAGCAATAAAGATGGCGGAAAAAAAGGGTAAATCCGGTGGAGGAAAGATGGATACTACTATCACGAAGTAGGGGGCGCTCTATTGAAAAGCCGGTTTTCCACTAGGCGAATTTATTCGCGAGAATCGACAGGGTCGGGTCGCTTCCTGAGCCCTGATTGGTTGCGCATTTTTTTCGCTTCGCAAAAACTTTGATATAAGTGTCTTTAGTGTAATATAATAAATAGTAGTTTACAGAATATTGTTATGAAAGAAAATTTACATGAAAAATCCAGATACACTACAATAATACACACATCTGCATACTAAAGAACATAAGATTAAATTCAAAAACAAAAACTCCTGTATAAGGCAGTAGACACACGCTCCCGCTGGGAGCCTATTATTAGCCGCTTGTCACCTTCGGTTGTTTACCTCGAAAAGTGACGTCACGGAGGCTGGAATAGCGATACGCCATTTGCGTCTCTACAAAATCTATTAGGTAAATGATATGTTCGCTAATAACTAATGCATTTTTATACATTATAATTACTTGAATATGACGATATAATTGTAGTCATACAAATCCCCCCCCCCACAAAAAAAAAAAAAATCAATATTTTTAGCAAGTGTAGTGCGACGGACGGACCCAAGCGACGCGGAAGTAAAGTTTGTATAGTATTGAAATTTTCGCACATAGCCTGCTATTCTAGGTTTTAATTTTATTTGCAATTCAAAATAAAGTCAGCCAAACCCATGTAAAGAAAAAAACAAGTGTATAACCTATACAAAATATGTCTATGTTGATCTCACGCTCTCACAAGCCACCCACCTGTGGATGATCGCATGACTGCATACAAAGTACTCACTCGGCTGTTTTCTTAGGTTGTTTTTTCGCCATAAATTAATTCCTAACCCATGGCCGTTCTTTGATCTTCACTGGCTAGTAGTCAAATTTTGTATTTAGAATAAAAATATATATAGTAGGGCTAGGCACTATGTGACCAATTTGTAAATGATTGCCTTCTTCAGCAGCGTTTTTGGTAATTGTGTACGATTATGATAATGTCTATCTTTTTAATATATTAATTATTATATATGTTTAAAAATAATATTCATGATTGTTGCCTAGTCATGCAAAAGAGCAATAAGAAACCAAAGTTACCTGTACCATGTGCGTGATACATTCACACTACGATATGCTACACACTGAGCCGACGATTGTAGGCCGACGCTGTTTCAAGGCAACGCGAAAATGCACGGATGAAAACACGACTACCACAGACAGACTCGGCGTCACGTCTTCGACGCGAGCGATGAATTTGTCAGCCAACGGATGTACGGACGTTGAGTAAGCCGGGATTTATTTACCTAAATATAGAGGAGATAGGCCTACCTCCGACGACTGAGCGAGAGGTTGAAAAGAAAAAAAATCCGACTTCCAGAAAACGTCTTTATAAAAAAATGTATCTCTATAAGCATGTCAGAGTTTCAGATGCAATGCTTTGCTATTATTGTGAAAGCCTTCAGGAAAGCAAAAATTTTATTTTATAATGAATACGATGAGAGGAGACCAAGATAGATGTGTATTGAAATGCAACCATTTACACACACACATATATATACCTATATATTATAAATACAAAGAGAACACACGTTAAATAAGCATGCAGTAATATTTTATATACATTTTTAATTCCTGATGATGACAATTAGGCCTAATGTCGAAATATTGAATCCCAACACGATGGCGTTCTTTTCAATTCTTGGAGTTGTATTATGCTTTCATACATATCAAACAAACTGCCGAGTGAAAGCACTAGAGCAATAGAGATGAGAACATGTGAAACGAACGATTAAAAGAATTAACTACAATTAATACACTTTTGTTATAAATACAAAGAGAACACACGTTAAATAAGCATGCAGTAATATTTTATATACATTTTTAATTCCTGATGATGACAATTAGGCCTAATGTCGAAATATTGAATCCCAACACGATGGCGTTCTTTTCAATTCTTGGAGTTGTATTATGCTTTCATACATATCAAACAAACTGCCGAGTGAAAGCACTAGAGCAATAGAGATGAGAACATGTGAAACGAACGATTAAAAGAATTAACTACAATTAATACACTTTTGTTATAAATACAAAGAGAACACACGTTAAATAAGCATGCAGTAATATTTTATATACATTTTTAATTCCTGATGATGACAATTAGGCCTAATGTCGAAATATTGAATCCCAACACGATGGCGTTCTTTTCAATTCTTGGAGTTGTATTATGCTTTCATACATATCAAACAAACTGCCGAGTGAAAGCACTAGAGCAATAGAGATGAGAACATGTGAAACGAACGATTAAAAGAATTAACTACAATTAATACACTTTTGTTATAAATACAAAGAGAACACACGTTAAATAAGCATGCAGTAATATTTTATATACATTTTTAATTCCTGATGATGACAATTAGGCCTAATGTCGAAATATTGAATCCCAACACGATGGCGTTCTTTTCAATTCTTGGAGTTGTATTATGCTTTCATACATATCAAACGTGACTAATATTAACATCGATAAAAACGGCCATGGGTTGGATATTCATAGTGAAAAAACATACAAAAAAACAAACAAAACAAAACAAAACAAAAAACAACTCTAGCCTTCAACACTAAGCTAATGGGGATCAGGTGATTGAATACTTTATACTTTGGTTATGAGGCAAGCAACATTAGTAATTTGCCTAATAGGCCTACAAACTTATTTTTTATATAGGTTTCGCTGATTTTAATATAGCTTGTAAGTAAAATGGGAGGCTAAAATAGTAGGCTAATACTAGGTGTATCAGTGCGATAAATTACGGTAATCGGTACCGGACGAAGTACTGTATACAGGGCCGTCGGAACCGCACAGGCAGCACCGGCTAGGGCCGGACCACTTTTTGTAAAAAAAAAAAAAAAAATAAATAAATTTATTAAAAATAAAACAAATTAAATATCAAACCTACTGGTACGTAATAATGTGTACATCATCTCCAAATTTCTTTTACCGGTATATCGTAACCTTTGTAATGGGATTTCAGTTTTGTACTCTTATCGAAATAAGACTGTACAATAGGTGCACATAATGATTGCATGCACGTTAATTACTTGGTTACCTTCAATACACGGATTTTGGACGTCGGGATGATAATACATGATGCCTACTGCATATTTTTCCAAGAATAGTTAACGGTATCATAGTCTAGACAGTGACCAATACTGTATGATGGCGTCAAAGTAGGTAATAATTTTATGTGTTTTTTATTATTTTGTTAATTCTTAAGAGATTCGATCTAATATATTAATTTGTAAAAGTAGGGTCTAATAGAAAACCAGCGCTATCTTTGTTAGTACATGTATTAGGAGGAATAGTTGCTCATCCAGGGACATTCCTGTTGCATTGTTTATGGCGTATTGACAGACTACAAGTTGATTTTGGTCTCAAACTGTTCACAATATGCATGTTTCTATTTGTTGTAATACAACTTTTTCTCCAAAAATGGCGGTAAATGCGATTTTTGAAAGTTTGACGTTTGACCTTGTTGTCATATCTCGGTAACTACTGGTCACAGAGACTCACAATTGATTGCAAATTGTTCAGGAGATTCATGTTTATATTCGTGTTAATGGAAAAAATATTCAAATAGTGACCGGAAATGATACATTCCGACCTTTGACCTATTGTAGGGTCATTACATGTCAAATCAACCAGATTAAAAAAAAAAATCCTGCATGACCGTCTCAGAATTTGATGAAATTCCATAAAAATGATCCACTGTATGAAAAATCAACAAAAAAAAAATTGCCTTTTTGGCTATGTAGTTTCCGAGATATTGACTCCTCAAAAAAGGGGCGTGGTTCTTCAAGATATACAAATGCCATTTACTTCAACTTTGGAAGCTTACATCTCGGGATTGGTAATAGCTATCAAGGTCAAACTTGGTATTCTAACTTATTATTTGCCATGTGTTACAAATATGGCCTTAATTAACAGTTATCCCTTTCCTTTTGAAGTTATCTGCACTCAAATTAGCCGCTTTGTTTAACGATGCACATTTTTTTTTGTGATTTTCAAGGTCACCCTGCGTCCATATGAGTGGGTGTATACACCTTATATTACAGATATGTTATCTATGTGTAGTTGTTTCTAGCCACATGCATGCGCAGGCTGATCAAATCAATTAAAAATGAATGGTATATATTCAAAGTTGGGACCAGATCTATAAAAGTGAAAAACGCCAATGTATCTCAACAACGGATCGTCATCATGTGGACAGTTAAAATATTTTCTTAAATTTACCCCAGTTAATCAGATACATTAGATCTACCTATAAACCAATTTTTAGATTTGGTACTTAGCTCATGGCTAGATACTATGTTGAAAACACATATTTCAAACATCATAGGAAATCACAAAAGTTCTTAAGAGTTGGGTCATTCCATGCCAACTCAACAAATGCATTACTATACTCTATGGGTCATAGATTTTTTTTAAAATTTTTTGACACACCTGACTCAGTGATAGTGTGAACTGAAAACCTGAAATTTTGGGACTCGCCCAATTCGTTCATTTTCCTGTAGCGGCAGTTTGAAGTTAAGGGGGCGTGGCCCAAAATATATATGAATATAATATGAATTCCTAGGAACATAAATATATTCATGAAACAGAAATAGAAAATTTCCAGAAAATAATTTACCATATATTGGCCACAAAGAAATGATATGTGATGTCCCAGTGCTGTGACTTACTAAGGGCTGTCACCCACAATACAAATTCGATGAGGTTATTATTAGCCAGGTTGAAGTTGCCCATTAAGAATTAAACCAGAAATGACTTTAGATCAATAAATTTGAAATTCATAGAAAAATTAACAGGTCTATGACATGGATTTAGAAAATTAAAGCAAAATATTTATATAAAAGTAGGGTATTATTGTTGATGATGGGTTAAAACATGTTTCTAAGGATTTGGATATGGCAGTAAAAGGTGTCCTACACCACAAAAGGAGGGGTTGTATGATGATATTAGCATATCATCATCATTAGAAAATCAAAGTTAATTTGAGGGACACCCCCTTTACGTCGAATTGCCGCTACGGGAAAACGAAAAGGGAATATGAGTATCAAAACTTCAGGTTTTTCTATTCACAAGGCCGGAGGGTGCAAACAAATTAAAAATCTATGGCCTGTAATGCTGTAATGCATTTGTTGAGAGGCCACACCCCCTTAAACTCAAACTGCCGCTACAGGAAAAGGAATGAATTGGCGAGTCTCAACATTTTAGGTTTTTCAGTTCACATAGATATCTATATCACTGAGTTAGTGTGCAAAAAAAAAAAAAAAAATAAAAATCTATGATGAGTCAGTGTGCAAAAAAAAAAATCTATGACCCATGGTGTAATGCATTTTTTTGAGTTGGCATAGAATGACTCAACTCATAAAAAATTGTGTTAACATATGTGTAGTTTTCAACATAGTATCTAACCATGAAGGAGCTGAGTACCAAAGCTGAAAGTTGGTTTATAGGTGGATCTAATATATCTGATTTACTGGGATAAATTTAAGAAAAGGTTTTAACTGTCCACGTGACGATCCGTTGTTCAGAAATATAGGCGTTTTTCTCTTTTATAGATCTGGCCATAATTAAAAAAAAAAAAGCCATTCAATTTTGATTGATTTGATCAGCCTGCGCTTTCATGTGGCTAGAAACAACTACACATAGATAATATATTTGTAATATGAGGGGTATATACCCACTCATATGGACGCAGGGTGACCTCGAATATCACAAAAAAAAATTGCATCGTTAAACAAAGCGGCTACTTGAGTGCAGATAACTTCAAAAGGGAAGTGATGATCCCAATGGACTTCTTTTCAAGATAGGCTCATGGGCTTCTTTTCGATATATTACAATACATACACTGTACATGAACTTTAAAGAAAAAAAATAATTAAAAACATACTTGGTTTAGACAGTAGTTTAGGTGATTTATTGCAGGTATACACCGCTTGTCACCTGTTCATCCCTTCCTTTTCGCTGCTGTCCGTTGTATTTTTATATTGTTTTCGTTTTCTTTATGCAGTGATGAAGCGTAATAAATAAATAAATAAATAAATAAAATAAAATAAATATAGATTGATGTTACAGAG